CTTAATCTCCAGATAGCCCATTACCAAATCCATCCAGCGTTCAAAGATATTTGCTTGGTTGGCGTTTTAGGTGACAAGAACAAGCCTAAGTATCACTCCTAAGCTCTGAATGATTTCTCCCAGTGTCTTCTGGTAGATAACTGAATAGCATGGCATCAGGGGTGTGGGTGGGGACAGCACAGAACCCTAAGGGACATCGTATGCCATATGCCCTTATGTTAAACAGCAACTCTAGCACCACTTTCTGGTTATGGACTGACAAGAAGGTTAATGAAATATAGTGACCATATTTTTCACATCTGCTACCCAGTATAAATAATCTGCCACTGGAACCTAAGCAATCTTAGTCCCATTGCCAGCTAAAATCCCAGTTGAGATGTGCCTGGATAGTCAATGTCATCCAGAAATTCCTGGTGCTGCAGTGCCACAACCTTATCAATCACTTTAGTCAGGAATGTTACAACCAAAACTATAGCTGGTTAGAATAAATGGATCAAATGCAGGTTTCTTTCATAGTCTTATTATTGCCTCCTTTAATCAAGCAGGGACCACATCCTGCAAATAAGTATTACTTTCCTTAACCATGACAGCTGTGCCACCTTGGCTGATTTAATCAGCCAGGAGGGGCAACCATTGAGTAAAGAAGTGGTAGCCTTCAGTGCTCCAGACATCCTGCCCTCATCTTCAAGATCTACAAACTGAAAAGAATCCCATATAATGTGACAAGACGTTGCCAAGGTTATATCAACCTGACTTGCCTCATTGTCAGAGATGTCAGGTAAACCCAGCCACTTTTGTCTGCAAAACATAGAGAAAGCCACGAACAGCTCCAGCACCCACTCCAGCCTTCTGGTGAAGAAAGCCTTGCAGAGTTTGGAAAACCATCACTAATCTATTCTGTACAGACAGAATGGTGACATTGAATTCCTGCTTAGTACTGAAACCCAATTTAGTATTGAGAATCAAAACAATATATTGAATTCCAGCTTAATGCTATGAGCTGGCATGAGAACTTGGTTGTTTTTCTAAATCATCACTGGTTATATTACTATTGTGTGCATATTTAAGTGTGTGTAAGTACCTTTATACTTTTTGGGAACTTGATACTGTTTATAATCAGGATGCAACTCCGAAGTATGCCTGTACTATGTTGTAAAACAGAGTGTATATTTTGATATACCAATGCTTTAAACCTAATAAATGCCACAGAAAATGTAATGCCAAAATGTTTTTAACTTATATATTGGTGATCCTTATTTACTAATATCTCATTTGTTATGTTTTGATGTATCTAACTTTGTTCTAATGTATCTAGCTTTGTTGGCATGGATTTAAATTCAGGTTTATAATGAATGTATGAAGCTCTGTAACACTTGCATGGCATTTAAAACTATTCTTGTGTAACTCTAGCTGCTATTAAAGACTATGTACTGTATGTGAACATGTTTGTAAGTACAAAATAAAAATAATTTAATTCCTGGATGCTTTAAATATGACCAAAACTATTGTCAGATTGACCTGTTTTCTTTAATAAAACTTTGCATATTTGTTTTTCCTACAGTTTGAGACCTCTCATTAATGTCTATTATTTACTCTTACTAATGATAATAGTAATAAGGTTCTTGTTGGGCCAGTTGAATCATGGCTATTTCTTTGAATATTCAGTGATTCCCAAACTCTGGCCTTCCAGATGTTTTGGACTTCAGTTTCAAGAATCCCAGACCATTGGCCAAGATGGCTGAAGCTTGTGGGAACTGAAATCCAAAACATCTGGAGGACCAGAGTTTGGGGATTACTTGGAAACTAGTTATATTTTGCCAAGAGAAAAGATTAAGGTATCACATGCTGGCCATTCTCAAGAACTTTATAAGATCTTACAGGGCAATTGATCATTTTACATTAGAGAAAAGGTCCTGGTTTTAAAGTATAAGGGGAGTTATTTTAAACATTAACAGAACAATAGAAGAACATGCTTCTTGGGAATTTTGAAATCTTCCTTGGAGTCAAGGAAAAAAGGGGAAAAAGGAGAAAAACCTAGAACAAGCATTTGTTAATGGTGTTGGGCAGTTTAACTGAGCTTGAGACCTCACATAAGAATTGGTTTACATGTCGTACATTAACTTCTAGCTATTTTTGCATTTTCATGAAAAGTGGCCAGCCATGTAGTTTTGAGTTCCTCACAGATCATAGTGGGAAAACCAGTAGTTCAACATAGATAGATTCTGTTTCGGTACCATATCTAATAACTGGATAATTAGATTCCGTATCATTCTAATCAATTTTTAAATGCTTTGTTAAAAGGACATCTGCCACTTTACTAGTAATACATTTCATGACTTCAGGGGTTGTTCAGCCAGTGATTCTTTTCTGAAGTAAGCTGAGCACATAATTTCACTAAGGAAATGCTCTTGTTTCTGGGCCTATACAGACTGCCAGAAATAATCCAGCTTGAGACCACTTTAACTGTCCTGACTCGGTGCTAAGGGATCATGGGAAGTGTAGTTTATTGTGGCACCAGAGCTCTCTGACAGAGAAGGCTCAATGTATCCGAAAAAACTACAGTTCCCATGATTCCCTAGCACAGAGCCAGGACAGTTAAAGTGGCTTCAAGCTGGATTATTTTTGGCAGTCTGTATACGCCCTTAGAAAACTAGGTTTCACTGCTTTGCTTTATCAATGCACACATCTCATTTAGAAAACATCAATTGAAAAAGATGACAGAAGACTATGTGATAATAGGATTCCAATAGTCACATACATGTGTGTGCATGTTAAATGTGCACGGAAAAGAGTTAAATGTTTGAGAATTCCAACAGATACAGCATGCCCTCCAACTGTCCCAATTTGGTAGGGAAAGTTCAAATTAATTTTCTGCCATCCCATTTTTTCAGCTACCTTTAAATTGTCCCAATTTCTCCTCCCACTTTCCCGCTTTGTCCTCAGCTTGCTTCAGTCTAACTTCAGAATACAAAATAGGTTGCACTCAACTAAGCAGAGAGAGAAGAGAGTAATCTTGCTCTTTCCAGTAGAGTTGGGCAAAGTCAAACTGCTGCAACCTCCTAGGAGGCAATGACATTAGCAAGGCAGCAATCCAAAGGATCCTGAATGGTGGACAAGTCCTCTTGGCACCCATCACTGCTATTATGTCTGAAGATGGGTTTGTTTCCCCAGCAGAGATGGGCAAAATTTGAGGCTGAACTTGCTGATACAATACTATTTCTCAGGAGGGAGAAAATGGTTAGGTGCTCATCATTGTCTGTGTTTATGTTGTGTGACTTCAAGTCGCTTCCAGCTTATGGTGACCCTACAGCAAACCTATCATGAGGTTTCCTTGGCAAGATTTCTTCAGAGGTGGTTTGCCATTGCCTTCTCCTGAGGCTGAGAGAGTGTGACTTGCCCAAGGCCAACTAGTAGGTTTCATGGCCAAGCGGGAAACTGAACCCTGGTCTCCAGAATCTTTCCTGAAGACGTCTTCTGTCTTGTTCAGTACTGCATCATGTGAATAAAAGTGCACAAGGAGTCTTGTGACATCCTAAACACTAGTAAATTTGTTGCAGAATGCACAATTGTGGTCTACAGCCCACTTCGCCATAGTATGTTATACAGAACATTTAGGGTACATAGAGAAAACATGCTTATGAGTAGAATCCTCGCAGTGGGTAATCCAAGATGGCACACAAAACTAATTTGTTTAACAGCTTTGTTCATCACTTTCCCCCCTTGTTTAACGGCTTTGATAACGAAACATAATTGGATTGCGTTAAAATGCTATAGCTCAGGGGTAGGCAACCTTTCCCCTTTAAGGGCTGAGGGACTTCAGCTCCCAGAAGCCTCAGCCATGTTGGCCAATAGTCCCATGTTGGCCAATAGCTCCTGGGATTCTGGGAGCTGAAGTCCCTCGGCCCTTAAAGGGGAAAGGTTGCCTACCCCTGATATTCTAGCTGATGCTGCAGGTCTGATGCTAAATGTATCACACAGTTCTGGGAACTGTACTTTGTTGTTGGATTGGTTCGCCATAGGGCGGTATATAAATAAAAATTATTATTATTATTATTATTGTGGCACAAACTACAGTTCCCAGAATTCCATAGCACTGAGCCATGGCAGTTAAAGCGGTGTCCAACTGGATTATTTCTGTAGTGCAGATGCAACCCCGGTCTCCTCAAACCACTACACCACGCTGGCCCTAAACCCCTGCTACCGATTCCTATCTTTCTGTTAGCCTCAAAGCTGCTGCAGGGAAAAGAGGAAAAGACTAGGCCTCTGGTTTCCATGGCAACCTCCTCGCCTCAGGCAGCCTCTTCTTCCCACCTCTCCTTCTTGACGTCCTAAGACCGGCGTCTCTTCCCATTGGCTGGCCGCCGAAATCTGACTATCCTCACTCCATCCCTTCCTCCAATGGGAGGCGGTGGGATGTGCTGGGCTCTGCGTCGGCCGCACGCCTGACCGTGACGAACGGTCGCGCCAGAACCAATCGCGGCGGCCGAGGCGTTCCTCGGCGGCCAATGGAGGGAGAGAGTATTTCAGAGGTCGGCGGCGCGCAGGCTCCACTTTGTTGTGAGGAAGCGGGAGCTCGTTCAGGTGAGTCGATGGCGGGGGATGGAGGCTTCGGAGGGGACAAGATAAATCTGTCTGAGGTTGCATCCGCACTGTTGAAATAATCCAGTTTGAGAGGACTTTAACTGCCATGGCTCCATGCTGTGGACTTCTGAGAAATGTAGTTTGTTGTGGCACCACATTTCCCAGAATGCCACAGCATGGAGCCATGGCAGTTAAAGTGCTCTCCAACCGGATTATTTCAGCAGTGCAGATGCAGCTCAGATAATAAAAGGGATGCTGTTGCTGATGTGTATCTTCAAGCCGTTTCCAACCTATGGTGACCCTAAGATGAAGCTATCGTGGGGTTTTCTTGGCAAGTTTCCTCAGAGAGGTTTTTACCATGGCCATTTTTTGAGGCTGAGAGAGTGTGACTTGCCTAAGGTCAGCCTAATGGGTAGAGGTGGCTGAGGCGGGACTCGAACCCTGGCCTCCAGAGTCATAGTCCAGCATTCTCAAACCATTACGCCACTCTGGTTCCTAATTAAAAGGGCTAGTTGGTAGTTAATGGAGTATTAAGGGAACAGATAATTAATGGGATATAAGTTATATATTCTGTTAATTATGTGTTCCCTTTGATGTGTGTATATAGGGGGAGGGAGCTATGTTATTTTAAATTGTATGAAATTTTTACTTGTAAACCGCCTAGATTGGTCCGCCACTGGGCGGTATATAAATAAATTTTATTATTATTATTATTATTATTATTATATGAGGTAAGGGATGATGGGATTGTTTACATATTTATAGCTTATAGCTTTCTCTCTATGTGTATGTGTTTTCCTCTCAGGTTCAGAAGGGTGCAACCATACCCCCTTTCCCCTGCTAAAATGTGAAATTTGAAATTAAGAAAGTGATGAGCTTTAACATTTTGATAACAAAGTTAGCAGGAGCCAGTGTGGTGTGATGGTTTGGACGTTGAAGTTGACACTGGAGACCATGGTTCGAATCCTAGCTCAGCCATGGAAACCCTCTGGGTGACCTTGGGCAAGTCACACTTTCTCAGCCTCCGAGGAAGGCAAAGGCAAACCCCCACTGAAGAAACTTGCCAGGAAAACCCCATGATAGGTTTGCTTTAGGGACACCATAAGTTGAAAATGATTTGAAGGCACACAACAACAACAATCCCCATAATGCAATAGAGATTATTTCTGTAACAAATAAAGTTCTTCATGCATGAAAGGAAAGAGTGTGGTGGAAAGCTGCCTTAAAAGTATGCATTGGAAACTTGCATCACTTCTTATTAAACCTGCGTTCAGATGTTTGACTCCTTTTCATTTTATACAACAAGCCAGTGTCAACATGATAGTATTAAAAGCCATAGATATTGCAGCCTGTTTGTCTCTTGCCTTCGTTTTTCAGACAATCTCTGTTAGGGATTTCCCACCCATTGTATTCATTTCCCATTAAACAGAATTGGGTTTTCTTGCTAAGAATTAAGGTTAACGTTTTGCTTTTACCTCGCAGGAGTTGTTCAGAAAGGTGTTAGCCTTTTGTTGACCCTTTTAATTCAGCTGACAAAGTAGCGCAACATGTAGGTGTACCTTGGTGTTCTAGTTAATTACTGTCAATTGTTGATAACCATCATTATTTTGACATCTGTTCTCAAGGTACTTAAAGCAGTAGTTCATTTCCTCATCCCACACCAATTATTCCCATAAAAATTACATGAAGTAGGCTAAACTGAGGTCAATGACCTTAAAATAATTTAATGAATTGTACGGTTGAGGAGACATTTGAAGCAGGGTCTCTGATCCTGTTCCTGCACTCTTTATCATACTGCAGCATGCTATCTTAAGTCTAAGGATATTTATTAGGTAATAAATCCCACGTCACTTGTCTTGATGTCCATTATTGTAATTAAAGTGGCATCCTCTGCATATTTCCTTTGGATAGCCATGCATAGAATTGGACCAATATCCTATACAGTTTTAGCAGAATATAAATTCAGGTCACTATGGTTAGGCTTGATCTCATAGGGTCTTTGCAGACTGCTAGAAATAGTGCAAATTGAGTCCACTTTAATGGTTAGGGTTAGGGAATCATGGGAACTGTATTTTATTGTGGCACCAGAGCTCTGTGACAGAGAAGGCTCAATGTTTCAGGGGGGAAAAAATTCCCATGATTCCCTAGCACTAACCCTAACCCTAAAATTGGACTCAATTAGCACTATTTCTGGCAATCTATAAAGGCCCATAGTTGCAACAAACTGTGCAGAGGTGTCAGGGCATTGAATTCATCTGTTGTGCAACGTTTAATTAAACTCTATCCACTAAGTCATGAGTGTGTGAGAAGGCTGTTTTAAATTATGTGCAGTTGCAAAAAGGATCACCTACACTAGGCACCACATTTACAGACTTTACAGAAAGCACAACAACTTGTTTGTTCATACTAGCACAACAGGATTCCAGTCTTAGTACTTCCCCTGGATTCCTAAAAGTTGTTGGTCTTTGTTTAGGTGTAAAGAAATGTATTTCCTGCTTTTCAACTCTGTCATATGCAAGATGGTTCACAAAAAAGTAAAAACAAATTAAAACAACTCAAAATTAAATGTCAAAACATTTAATTCCACTGCCACAACATTCTTTTTGTTTCATAGCATACTATTATGCAACAGAGGGAAAATTGTTTTAATTCTGTGTTTGTTCAAATTGTCAGTGTATTTTTTCACAATAATATCAATTAGGTGCATATCTTTTTGTAGTTACTGCTGCATTGGAGGGGAATTGTAAGTCAAATGGAGAAAAGCAAGTGTTCTTTTTTCAACAGTAGTCAACAGGGTGTGAAAGACGTAACCATTGTTTTTGTTTATTTGATTTTCTTCTCTTCATGTTTATGTATATAATTTTGAAAATTGCAGTGTTGTTGTATGCCTTAAGTTATTTCTGATTTATGGTGAACCTATCACAGGCTTTTCTTGGGAAGATTTATTCAGAGGGTGTTTGTCTCTGCCTTCCTTTGAGGCTGAGAGAGTGTGACTTGCGTAAAGTCACCTGGTGGGTTTCTATGGCTATGTGGGGATTCAAACCCTAATCTCCAGATTTCTAGTCCCAACACCCAAACCACTACACCACTCATGGCTCTCTAAAATGGTAATTAATATGGTTTCATATTACCATATATAATTAATATGGTAATTAATATGATTGATATATATATATATATATATATATATATATATATATATATATATATAATTCCAGTCTTAGTGAAATTGCATCCCAAAGGTAGAAAATGACTTAGTAATTAAAGATGTACAGGTTTATCACAAGTAATGATGTTAAACAGTGCTTTCTCCACATTTTAAGGGAAAATCCCACCTTTCACTAAGACTGGAATTATATATAATTCCAGTCTTATATTTATATATAATTCCAGTCTTAGTGAAAGGTGGGATTTTCCCTTAAAATGTGGAGAAAGCACTGTTTAACATCATTACTTGTGATAAACCTGTACATCTTTAATCACTAAGTCATTACCTACCTTTGGGATGTAAGAGTCTTTTACATGGATTGACAGCAGACTTGAAAGATGACACACACAAAACATATTCATGAACTAAAAGATTGGGTGAGATGTGATCAAGCGTGTGATATTTAGCTGAGAAATGTGTTTTGTCCAGGGCAGGTAATGTGTAACACAAATTACATTAACTGTGGCACACAATAATTTAGTAACAATTAAAATGCAATATATATGCTGGAGAGAGTAATCCTGAAAAACATGCATATGTCATCCAACAGTTTCCTAAGGACTTTACTTATTTGCTTATTTGGTCAGGCTGGTCCAGTAATAATACAGGTAATACAGATTATAATACAGGTAATACATATAATTGCTTATCTGAAATGATGCAGAATCCAAAACTTTATTAAGGGAGGCTAAGACAGTGACACCTTTGCTTTCTGATGCTTCAGTTTACACAAACTTTGTTTCATGCACAAAATATTGCATACATTTACCCTCAGGCTATGTGTTTGAGGTGTATATGAAACAAATGAATTTTGTGTTTAGATTTGGGTCTCCTCTCCAAGATATCTCATTATGTATATGTAAATATTCCAAAATCTGTCCTCAGCATTTCAGATAATAGATACTGAACTGGCTAAAAGAAGCTTAGTTCTTTCGTTGTTGTCATTGGATAGCTTGACAGTGTACTGCCAAGTCAAATCAGCTGGCAGCTTTAGGAAAGTGTTGACCTATGTTCTGTTTGCTTCAAATTTCAACTTATCTTTGGATATGTAATGAGAAAGTAGCAAGGTCCACCTATTCCTTTCCTAACATACCTGATTTCATAGTAGTGTCTGCTTATTGTTCAAGTTAAGCTGAGCAAGAGCTTATTCCACAGTTACTTGTCTAGTATGTGCTACCTGAATCATTCCTGTTTTACGTTGTGTCGATGTCTCTTTTTATGTCCTGCTGATTGTCAATAATTTCTGACACTTTGCAGATTTGATGAAATCCTATAGCGAAGCTGCTACTGTGATGTATTAAAGCTGAATGATGGCAACTAACGAGAGTGTTGGCATTTTGAATTCTGCCTACTTGGCTGTAGAATATATAGACTCTTTCTTGCCTGAGAATCCACTGCAACAGCCATTTAAAAATGCTTGGACCTATATGCTGAGTAACTATACAAAATTCCAGATTGCAACCTGGGGATCACTTCTTATTCATGAACTTTCCTATTTTTTACTATGTTTGCCTGGATTTGTTTTTCAGTTCATACCTTACATGCAAAAGTATAAAATACAACAGGTAAGATGGAATTTTGACTTGTGAGACTTTCCAGTCCTAATTATCTACCTGACCCTAGTCCAGGGGTAGGCAACCTTTCCCCTTTAAGGGCCGAGGGACTTCAGCTCCCAGAATCCCAGGAGCTATTGGCCAACATGGGACTATTGGCCAAACATGGCTGAGGCTTCTGGGAGCTGAAGTCCCTCGGCCTTTAAAGGGGAAAGGTTGCCTACCCTTGCCCTAGTCAACAGTCCTGCAACTCCCTAGTCTAAAAGTAAGAACCATGAAGCCCATCAGATGTTGTTGAACCAGAACTCTCAGTATCCCCACTGTTGGCTATACTGACATGGACTGTTGGAACCTGCAGTCCAGTAACATCTGGAGAGCTGTATGAATGCCACTCTTGCCTAAGTGTATGAATTCTGTCCCCTTTCTGCAATTTAGCATGATGTTATATTGGGTTGCCAACTTAAAAGGACAGAGGAGAGAAGCTGTTTTGCTGTTCTTGGAAGTCTAGAAATCATTTTCTCTAATGCCATTCTTGTGCTTATATTTCGATGAATGTGAGGTGTCCTTTTGTTACAAACTGTTTGGGTAGTGATTTATATTTGGGTATTGCTAACCTAGCTGTTAGTACTGAAGGACATACATTTTTGAGCCTCTAGCTTGGAAGTTTTTATTTAATTCAGGGGTGGGCAACTGCAAACAGAGCAGGGACCATTTTTCTTTCTGTGCTATCCA